TTTGGAATCGGTATTTTGAAAATTAAAAGTGTGATTATCAATGACTATGTAAACAGTGACACCTTCGTAAGCTGCAGAGGTCGCAACGTGTGTTCGCTGTCCACTACAGCATAGTGACGTCACGCGCCTTTTCCAAGGTTATAGAACCGTTTTGAATCTCGGTGGTTTTCAAAACGCTGTAACAGCCTTAGGAATGGTTTTTCGACCATACGAAAAATATTTTGTTCATTAAACATGAATTATACGCGTTGGTTCCAAATATACAATAGAAAATTTCATGTTTCAGTCAAATTACCGCACGCATATGTTATTGTAAACAATTAATTTTACGATATCAACATTTCTTTCTAAATTATCGTTAGGGCATCATCATCATAAGGTCGTCAGTCCTAAGACTGGTTAGACACAATATACAATAGAAAATTTCATGTTTCAGTCAAATTACCGCACGCATATGTTATTGTAAACAATTAATTTTACGATATCAACATTTCTTTCTAAATTATCGTTAGGGCATCATCATCATAAGGTCGTCAGTCCTAAGACTGGTTAGACATAATATACAATAGAAAATTTCATGTTTCAGTCAAATTACCGCACGCATATGTTATTGTAAACAATTAATTTTACGATATCAACATTATTTTTTAAATTATCGTTAGGCAATAATCATCATCATCATCATAAGATCCTAAGACTGGTTGGACACGCACCTCCACTCCTTCCTAACCTGAGCTAATCTTCGCATTTCCCCAAATTTAGAACAAACCATACCTTTAAGTATTTGCGAATCGTAATCTAATATAGGTCTACCTCCACTTCTCGTAACTCCTGTTTTTGCCTCTAATATGTCTCTGACTAGACCTTCATGCCTGAGAAGGTGTTTTACTAACCTATCTCGCCTATTTCTTATTGACTTCCATAGAATCCTCTGCTCTCCTATTCTTTCGAATACCTATTCATTTCTAACCTTCTCTATCCACGGTATCATCATCACTCGCCTGTAACACCACATTTCTAAAGCTTCTAAAATTTTCTTTTCCGCCGCGCCTACCATCCATGTTTCGTACCCGTACAGTGCCGCGCTCCAAACATACACCTTTAACAATCTTTTTCGAATTTCTAAATTAACCGTTAGCGAGCGTCGATCTGACTTCTTTTTATTGAAGGCGACTCGACTCTGCGCTATTCTCTGCTTTATATTCCTACTATTCCTTCCATACTGACTTATCTGACTTCCTAGATACCTAAAATCAGCCACTTCTTCTAAATTTTCGTCTCCTATTTTTATATTCGCTCTTTCCCTACCTTTAGGCAATGGAAGACTTAAAAGACGACATATAAGGAATGAAAGAATATTTATTAACACGCCTCATTGAATAAGGAGAAATTTAAATCGGGAAACTTCAATTTCAATTTTTTGTGTTTAGGATGATCGAAAGAAAATCTGTTTTAGCATTGACATATATGCTTTTATTGTATCTGCCTAGCTAATCTAAAGTTATTGTATTTGCACTGATCGTTAATTATAATGGCACAACAATTTGCCTTTCGCAAAAAATATAATGTTCTTTTAGTGCTAAAAGCAAAATAAAACTGTGCGATATACATTTAATCATTAGCATTTATTTTTCCAAGAGACAATAATACGTAAATAAAATCAATGAAAACTCTACATTTATTTCTGACATCGTGACCACAAAACTCGATTCATTTAAACATAAGCACATATGCATTTGTGCTTCGCTCATAATTCTGTTGTTATTTGTAACTATTGTTTAGAATTAACAATAGTTGTTTTCACTCATACGTATATTTTTGCGAAGAGTATAAATTAACCGTCAACTTGCATCGCCCGGTTGCTTTGCGCCCCAGATGCTGAGATGAGTAAAAAATTTTTTTTTTATTTAAAGTACCTACCCGTTCTTCCTTTTATGTAATCTTAGTACTGCGAACGCCCTAGAACAGGGATGGCGAACCAATGGCATGCGATACAATATTTTGGGCACGTCACGTCAAATAATTTAAAGGTGAATAGATGTCATTCCCGCTTTTGAGGCTAAACTGCCAGCTTTTGGGAACGACATCATCACAAGAAACTACAAGTGTTTTCCAAATTTGAAAAAATATAACAAAACACATGAGAAACCAGACGAAGACCAACTTACTGAAGACTTTGTTTCTGTGATTGATTGTTTAATTAAGGAATTTTCAGAAACTGTTTGACAGATGATTCCAGTTCAGCATGCATTCTGCTAAGAGTAACATCTTACAACCATAACGTGAGTTATTTGTCATCTAAATCTGCAACAACAGAAGTCACACTAACTTTACATTAATTTAAATTACACATATAATTTAAACATTGCAAAATGTTCCTATTTTTTGCAGTGAATATAAAGAATTTTGAATTGATATTATTTATTATTATTATTTTGGCAATAATCAGACACAAAATTAATTGATGGCACGCCTATGATCTGATTAAACTTTTCTTTATAAAAATGGCACGTCGATACGTAAAGGTTCGCCATCCCTTCCCTAGAACCTCAAAAACGCGTAGCGCGTAAAAGTGAACCGTATCAACCTTACTACGTTTCCATCCCGCGATGACAAATACGATTATCATTTTGTTGAACTATACCTGTTTAATGTTTTTATATAAAAGAGTTTCATATTACGTGTATTGTGTTTCCTTTATTTTAAACATTACATGACACTATTTTTTACATGAACATAAGAAATTTGACATTAACCACTTTGAAATATAATTTAAGATCAATTTTCTATCCGAGATAGATTTTACTTGTGTAACATGCATAGCGAGGTATGTTAATGGTAGGATTTATCTCAAGATATGGAAGAATTTGTCTGTGATATAGAAGTAACTGCTTTCTTTTATCTATTAAGACACGAATAATCTTTATAAAAATGGGATAATCTTGGAAACAGTTGAACTAATTTCGATGGAGAATTGACCAAAATTACTTTATGTTCTTCCCAATTAATCAATTTTAAAATGGATTATGCGTTGTTTCTACAGCGCTCACTGTACCTGACAACAATTTTTTGTACTTCTCAGGCTGCATTATAATCATTAAATCTGTTTAGGATAAATTTTAATCGAAATTCATAAATTACCATAGTTAAACACACATTCTGATGTAAATACATTAATATAAACATAATCTGAATAGAAATAACGACTATAACAACAATAAGCCTTATATTTCTAGGATATTGCTTGGTCCATCTTCTCTGCCCATTTAGAAGAGTTAGAGTATCAACGAGTGGGAGACATGCACTTAGGTTTTTACCATTATAAAAAATCCCAGTACACGGAGAAAAAAATTATCATGGTGTCGTAATATGGGTGCCATTGACTGACAATGAAAAGATTACCATGCTAGCAAGGTAAAAGTTCCTATGTTTTGTAGTAAAATTTATAAGACCTCTTACAAAAATTATCGGACTAATATTGAATTCTGTCAATACACGTCTCTTGCACTCACTTTATAGTAAGGAGCATAGTAATTTTTCTTTCTGAGTACGTAATTCAGAAAACTGCTCTGATAAATTATATATTTCGACCAAAGTATTCAAGGATCAACGTGGAATACATATGGAAAGACCAGGATCTTTTTCACCAGAGCTATCCAGAATATTTAGTAAAAATGGAAAGTGACAGTGGACTGTAAATAATGTTAAGAAAAGCTCTTGATCAGATTTCTTCTGTCCTTTGTAGTAGTAGATAAGGTTGGAAAGGTCAATGCCAATTTTCGCCGATCTCTATATATGTTAGTGTCCATTGATAAAAGAAATGAATTGGAATCAGAGCGGAAAAAACAACGAGGTTGAAACCAAAGAACACAAACAATAAGTAATACAAGAAAAAAAAACAGGAACGTATTAGCAATATGGAGAATAAATCTGTTGAACGCAACGAGAACAACCGCATAACAATGACAAACGACGATTGAATGTCTGCGCGTTAATTGTACATTTTTTAATAAATATTCTCAGATTTACGGCGCCAGTATTTAAAGAAAAAACGTTAAAAGTATGAAGATCGTCTGTCACCCTTACTGACCCAACTTTCCTTCCATAATTAGGAGGGGCAGACCAGTTGCGTGTTTCGATTTTTAATTTTTTACAATTTGACAATGTATGTTGATAATACAATATCAAAGTGTTGCTGAAACTTATGTTGGCTTTCTGTATTTTCTGCAGAGTTTTATTTTTATAAAGAAATAAATTGTTCATTGGTTTTGTTTTTAAAATTGAATTTACTGTAAGCAGATTTAATTAATATGGCCGCAAAACTAATTATGCAGATGAAGTCAAGACCGAAATCTAGTCCTAAATAAAAGTGAATTCAATTGATGCTCTAAATTGTTGAACATAACTGAGCGGAGCGAACACACCTTGTATGCCATCCGGCAATATAATTTTAACTTATGCATTAAATAATCAAAGGTTACTGCGCTTTGATTACATTCAGCTGTTCTAACCATTTTGGAATTCCTTTTAAACGGTTAATTTTCTTCTAACCTTAAAATTGTTTAAAAAACATATGTAACTTCTAATGTTGAAGAATCCAATATGGCATTTATAAAAAGAACTAAAATGTAATTTTCTCGATAAGAACTGGATTACAAAAAATTAAATTTTACATACAAAAAAGAGTCCGATTTCGAAACTGACGTTTTTTGATAGCAGGAATTCGACTTTCGATGATGTTGCGCGTTAATGAGTACAAAATTTGACACAACTTTCCCCGTTTAAAGGGTCTGTATCTTTACCATTAACAAAGATACTGTACTAGTCTATATTTAGTGGAACTATTAGTAAATGAGCGTTTAAGTCACTACTATACGATTATTATTTTAGAAGATACAAGTTTTCTAAGTGTGAGATGCTTTTATTCCCTTAGCTACTGGAGAAGATATACATAGGTAAATACGTAGTTTTAATGAAACAAAAAGTAGGATATTGCTCACCTCTTCCACTTCTTCCTACAAATCTGAGATCATTGAATTTGGCAACTTGATTTTTCATCACTGCCGTGGAATTCCTTAACTCGGCACAAAAATTTTCATCGTTTCCCGCTTTCACGGTTACCAATGTCCCGTCATTCACTTCACCGAGGGCCACTACTTTAAACGCGACCGGCAACGTTTTGTTGGACCTCCAATGAGGAGGCAGAACCGTGCACACCACGTGGGGGCTTCCCGTCCGCATCAATTCACCAGGATGTTCAGATAATAAACCTTCCAGGGTCCTTTCCGCCAGGATCTCAGCCGTGAGATTTTCGTAGTTACGGTCCAAATGACTTGTTGTAGAACTTACTTCTCCAGCAAGGTGCATCTTTTAGAAACTTTTATCTATAAAGATACTTACTCATTTCTATCATACAATTCTATTATTATTTGTGTCCACCAAAATTTGTAAGTATTTTAAATGCTTAAATGTTTGTTCGAAAAATTTTTCCACTAAGTATTCTCATATTACTTATGTTAAATTTTTAAGTAGCTTTAAAGAATTCTGGAATTCTACTCTGATTGAAGATTGGTGAATTTCCAATTTCTGTTTGGTGGCGAGTTCTTATTTTATTGCATAAATTCGTATGCAGCAGCTTTTTCATTCTTTATTGCCTGTCGAATCATCTCATGAACTGCTGTTGGCTCTAAAGCGACAACAAACAGGTAGCGTTCACTCATTCACATCACGTTCGGTTCTTCGGTGCCTCTTTTGACGCCTGTCAAATCGAATAAAGTGGCGTCATGTTGTCTTCAGTAAGGATCGCGATACTTCGTGTCTAAAACCATTGGGAAGCAACGAACCACGACCGTCTTTGATGCCTTTGCTCGCGTGTTTTTTTAGCAAGTTTCCGGCCTTTTCTTGAGGAAACAAGCCGACAATGGGGGAACAACCGATTTCAAATTGGACTTGTTAGACTTGTATAATTCGGGGCTGTTAAAGTGGCTGTCTTGGTGAATAATGCCATTACCGAAGGGAGAATTATAGAAGTCTCCTTTGACCAAAAAAAGATATCTGTAAAATAAAATAATGGTTATTGTAACAGTTAAAATTCATATTCTAAAGTAATTTAATAACTCAAGAAAGAAAGTTATTTTTCTGATTCCACCTTTCTTCTGGAAAATTAAATAATAGTCATTTAATTCAAAAGTATTGGGAATATTTAATATTTCTAATAATTCTATATAGGGTTATTATTTTTGTAAATGTTACAAATAGTTATTGTGCATTATCACAACTTACGTTGATCGTTAGCACTATGAATACAAATTAGCGAACCATTTAATAACAAATAAGTTTACCTCTTCAAAATAAATCCCAAAATTTAAGTGAACCTTTCGTATAATCGCTACAGGCACCGTCAGACGATAACCCATTAATCACGATTGTTTTGTATCACACCCCGTATTGAAAGTTGATTCGATTTACTTTCGTAAATGATTTTAATTGAACTCACAATAATAGATTATTTATAATCAATACAACAAAGTAAAAATAATTTAAAAAAGTATTATTTTATGACTACTCAGCGAATATTAGGAAGTGAGTGTGTAGAATCGAAAACCCTTTTGGCAACACGATCGTAACCGAAACGAGCTATTTTTTGATACGGGTATCGGCACTTCCAGACTTATAATGAAAAATCACGGGGTTGTGAATTTTCAACTAATGTGGTGGTGGCAACCGCAGCTGGAAAAATGCGCGAGAGATTTCCCGATTTTCCGAACACTGCCCTCCTCCTACCACCACATGTTTCTCTTCATGCATATACATATATACCTATGTATGTACGTGTAGCACCCATCCACATGTCCGAACAAATACGTGAACTGTTCGTCTGTTTATTTTCTAATTATCCTCGTATCCTAATTCTTAAGTAATGAGTTGAGCCGAAATAATTCCTTTATTTAAGGTTCTGTAAACAAATTACAAATACGAACCCTCAAGGTTTCATCATGGTCATCCGTGTATCCGTTTGTATGTGTTGTAACATGCAACGGTAGGTAGTTATTATTGTATCTACCTACTTAAAACAGCTCATTTTTGAAGTGAAACTTCTTTGGGTTCGATGGGAGTAAAATCTCAAGGCCATGAAACGACACGTTTTGTCTCGCGACGCGATAGGCTATGATAATAGAAAGGTGCGCATGCGCATATCGGTATTACAGTCAGCTGTTAGTGACCGGCATCTCATATATTATAGTATAATATATATTCACTATACTATAGTGCTAAATTAACTTTTTAGTTATATCTGTGCAGTTATATTACAGTAAATGCTTATTTAACAACAATTAATATTTATTTAAGAGTGAGCATTATTATGCATTGATTCTAATTCATTGTAGTTATTGACAGTTTAGGGTTTCTTAAGCACTTGGAAAAATAAACGCAAGCGAAAAAATTTGACCATTTTTTTTGTTATTGAATTACATAAAAACGTATTAAAGTAATACTCCTTAGGTGGACTAAAGATAAAATATGTTGGAAAACATAAATCCTGAAAATTCTCGTACTCTCTGTTTCAATCATAATTCGTTGTAAAGGTATAGAGATCGCCAAAGAAGTTTCACTTCTTTCACGTGTACTGAGTTGCTCCTGTTTTGTTATTTTTTTTTTAATTTTTTGTTTAATTTCCCCAAATCTTTTTTTTTTTTTAAACCATAAAGCTTCATCAAAGAAGAGTAATGTCAATCAGTAATTCCATATATTTGTAAGCATATCACGACAGACATCATTTTAAGAACCATCGGGAGTGAGTGGCGTCATTATAAAAACTATTTTAACATAAGTTTATCGTGTTTTTAACGTGAACTACATTGAGCCACCTATATGTCCCATTAATCCAACTATGTTCTGTTAACCATTATTGTCTTTTACATTTTACTGTTACTATCGTATACCTAAGAACTTTTCCTAGAAAATGCAAGAAAATAATTTTTACTGTTTCAGGTGTGATGACGTAAATAAATTTCACCAGTTTTCATTTATAGTCTTCTAGAATTGCAAATTTCTTCTATCGTTGGCGGTTTTTAAGAATACAAAAAACATGACAGAATCGGCATTTACTTGGCGAAAATTCATACATTTGTTAAAAAACAATAGAACAAATTAGTAAAATGTAAAAAAAAAACAATAGAGATAAACTAAAAAATTCTAAACAATGATACGTTTACAAATTAGCATGTGGTACATGTGACAAACGCAATTGGCCAAACACGAAGAACATTCAAAATCAGAACTAATGAACATTTTAAAAACTCTGAATGTAAAATAGAAACTTCTAGTTACGTTAATTATCTAATTTCCGAAAATCACAAATTTAATAAAAACTATAGAACTTTACACACATTAAATGAAGGAATAAAATTTAATACTTTAGAATCTCTGGAAATATAATAAAATTAAAAATCAAAACGCAGAACTATTGTTAAATGATCAAATAGAAATAAATACTTCACCCTTCTAAAATTTATTCTAATGTAACCCTCACTTTTAGTTACGCTATACCTAAGCTACAATTCTGTAAAATATTTAGTGTAACACTCCAATTGGAAACCCTACTGTGTTAGCGAAGCAATTGTCGTGTTGTCGTTCTTACATCTGTACTTAGATACTAGCTATTAAAATTATCTTTTTGTAGATGTATCAACGATATATGTACGGTAATTAACATTATTGATTCGAACCTTTTGTAATACATCTACAATGTTTGCAATGTGGTTATTTTGTAATATTCATTAAGTACATCAAATACAAACCGTGAATATGTGTTACGCTGTATATTTTTGGGGTTGAGCGTCATGTTTTAATAACGCGTTTCACTTCATATACGGTAGCAGTTCATATATCAAAACACATGTTAAAAGGTGTCAAAGAGGGCTGCGATTCAGCAATTCCCGTCGGCGACCGACACGACGCGACGACGAAAAGCGGGGACTCCCTGCTTTTCTTATTCCACCAGACGCACGTATATTTAGACAGTCAACAATTGCAGTTTAACAGTGAGAAGTTTTAGGGGAGAACAAATAAGGGGTGTTAAAGATGAATCAGAATCAGCTGATTGCTACACCCTCGTACCTAACTAGATCAAACGTGCGGCGACTCTCAACTTACGAACAGTTTACAGGAACTTTAAGATATCATTTAGCGGCCGACGGAACCGTAGATACTTTGAATGTAATTTCCGTCTCACTGTATGTTTGTATGACAGCCTTTCCGCCATCTCATTAATGAATGTACCAATTAAGGTTTGGTATACGAATGTTGACTAATAAGTAAAAAATAGGATTGATCGAATTTTTGGAAAAATAATTGTTTGGAAACTTTCCATAGATTGGAATGTGTACTGAAGTTCTTTTCACTTATGGTTTTAAATATTTATCTCTAAGTTTTCCAGAAAAAATCAATTATTTTATATTTTAAACCTTATATCAATAGGAAGGACTGTCAATATTGCATCGACACGGTACCATTTAGTATGGGTGATTCCATTTGAAACAAAAAGTTATTTGTCTTGTAAGATTGTTGAAATTTCGATATTTCCGGTTTTGAATAACAAAAAGGATACGGTAATTCGTACTAAAACGAACTGTCCAAACCGCTGTTTTTTTGGTTTAGATGTTATTTGGTCTCATTCGAAGAGCTGAAATCGTGTTGCTTTTTTTCAAAAACCGTTGAATATTTCAAGAAATATTAGAGACAGGGAACTGTTAACAAAGTCTACGTAAAATTAAACAAAGAAACCAAAAATGTAAAAATATGCAAGGTGTTCTATTTACAAGGGAACTGTTAACAAAGTCTACCTAAAATTAAACAAAGAAACCAAAAATGTAAAAATATGCAAGGTGTTCTATTTACAATGATATTAACTGGCGTCCAGAAGAAGTAGATCAAACTGTAGGCTGAAAATATGCACCATGTGATTCCAGGTCACTTTTATAAAAATACTTTTTTGTTAAAAAACTGCTTTATAGATAGGTGTAATATACAGTATAGAAATTACACATATCTTTGGTATTGTTTTAATGCCGCATGAGCGAAATTTTGTGAACGTGTGGAATGTATATTTTGTAGTTGCGTCTGTCTAAAAATAAATCGCCATTAGTGTAGAGATTTCTCAACAGGAGACTATCTAAAGTTTTGTTGCTAGGTGACATGACCTGGAGGTTTAGACCATTGTTTAGCATTCGGGACAACACTGATTCGATTCCGAGTCCGTCTGTCCTGGTTTAAGTTTTTCTGTGGTATGAAGGTATTACCGGATCGGATTTGAAATACTTGATAAGAGACGTTACAAGACATAATAAAAGTGATCGACTTATAAATTTTTTCTTGTACCTGCAGTATTATTTTCAGTATTTGAAATGCCTCTAAAGTATTCATGTTTGTATTTAAATACTTTTTTTGGTATTTCACCTAAATAGGTAAGTTATGTGTACGAATCAGAAAAAGAATGCAAAGTAATCCTAATTAAAAAGTATCGTACAGTGATGAG